TTACTATTGGCTATTTCAATTTGCAATAGCCAATAGTAATCTAGCATTGTACCCGCCCTCTGCTGATGGACCTGATGGGGAACTGCAAAAGAGGGCGGGTACAATGCTAGTTTACTATTGGCTATTGAAATTGAAATAGCCAATAGTAATGTCCCAATGCTTTTGAATGGGAATTTTTCTTTTTTTTTTTTCTCTATTCTGACATCGCTCCGTGTCAGAATAAAGAAAAAAGACACAGCGGGGTTTTTCTCCTTGGCGGCCGGGAGCAGGAGACTCCCGGAGCGCCAGGGAGAGTTAGATGTTTGGAGATCAGTGTCCCTGGTTAGCAACCAGGGACGCTGATCTCTCTGAAAGTGGCCGGAGCCAGCCGTAAGATCATGGCTGGCTCTGCCCAGCTGTCAGAAGCAGGCTGTTGGCCAGCCAATGGCCAGCCGCTCGGCCAGCTTTGGCTTTCAGCACGGCTCAGCGCTCGACTGAGCTGCTCAGCCATGATCGGGAGCTGTACGGGCTATTGTGAATAGCCCGTACAGCACCCCCTCGGTTCTCCTGAACCGAAGGGGTCCTGGGGCCGAAGCCAGCCGAAGGATTGGCCAAAGCTACGGCCAGATCCTTCGGCAGCTTTGTGAATAGACCCCATAGTGTAAGAAAGGAGAATTTTCTTTCATCATCCGATCAGATTTTTCCTACCCTTTCCTTTCCTAAACTTTCCTAAGAAGAATCTGGTTGATTGCTATAGGAAAAACAGCAAATTCTATCAAACTCTTGTGGACAAGGTGCCAGGTATATGAAATTATTGCTTTGTAAAAGAATGCCTGTAAGAAGTGTAATGGGTGTATTTAGCACAGTCCCTACCCCATATGCCACCTGCAGCAGTAGAATGGGGGGAAGTGGGTACAGCGGGTGCTGCTGATGGTACGGTCGATGCAGTGGGTCAGGTGGCTGTGTTAGAGCCGTGCTGTCAGCGGCTCTATGTCCGTTCCTGCCCAGCTCACTGAAGTTAATGGGTTGCCAGGAGCTTTGCCAGCTAGAGCATCCTGCTCAGCTCCCTGCCAAACCAATGACGTCAATGAGCTCAGAGAGATGCCGGACAGAGCATCACAGATTGTCTAGAGCTCTTAGCAACCTGGGACACTGGCGCCAGTCCTAATGAGATGCCACCTGAGACAACCACCTCAGACTGCCTTATTACAGTTACAGCGCTGGGTAAATTCAACAGGGGTGTAGCTACGCCTGGCAACTTTTTTGTGAAAGTGGTGCCCCACATAACATCTTATTATTACAACATATATACAAGTGACTCACACAACATGACTTGTAAGGCATGAAGGCCTCTTTAAGCTAATAAACAAACAATGATGATCTATTAGTGTATTGAAAAGTAAGTCCCTAAGTGCTCCACAGTTATGGGCTGAACAATATATGGTAGCTTTCCTAATTTATTGACTACGCCGCTATTATTCTGTAAGGCAGGGAGAAGAGTAAAAAAGATATACAGCAGCCAATCCAGTTTGCTGAAATCAGATTATGGGATAGATGACTTCTGATTGGCTACTATGATTTACATCAATTTTCACAGCTTAAATCGTTTCACTACCACACTGCAGTCACATGGCACAAATAAAAAATCATATTTTTGTGTAAGTTTTGAGACTTACGTATCACCATAAATATCTAACATCTGCAGTATGGCATTGACTAAAATGTTGCTTTTTATATATTTTTTTTCATGCAGACGACATCAAATAAGCCCTCCACCACCTCCAAGGCCCATATCTCCGCCTCATACTTATGGGTACATTTCTGGGCCGATAGTGTCTGACATGGATACAGATGTCCCAGAAGAAGAAGGAGATGACATGGAGATGGAAACCAAGATCCAGAGCCGCAGACTTAGATTACGTGGCTTGGAGCAGACTCCCGCCTCCAGCATTGGAGATTTAGAAAGCTCTGTAACTGGTTCTATGATCAATGGATGGGGCTCTGCCTCTGAGGAAGACAATGTCTCCAGCGGACGATCTAGTGTCAGCTCATCTGACGGTTCGTTTTTTACAGATGCTGATTTTGCACAGGCTGTGGCAGCTGCTGCAGAATATGCAGGACTAAAAGTAGCAAGACACCAAATGCAAGAAGCAGTGGGAGGTGCGTTGTTTTTAGATTTCTATAGAAATGATAGCTGTCATCATAAACTCATATAACTGACTGTTATAGTAGCTGACTTAGATACTATGTCGATTGACTTCTATGGGCAAATGCAGCATGAATTTGAGATCAGTTTAAGATGCTTCTATAGTCATTTAGAGTTCATTGCAGGTGCAGTTGACCTACATTAGACCTGCTTCTGTTGCCTTTGCATTTGCAAAGTCTTGTTTGGGGAGAGATGCAGTTCCAAGCACCCAAAAACACATTGACACTGTTTCTAATGTATTCAGAAGCATCCATCGTTGATAGAGATCAATTATATGTTTGAGAATTTATCTTCTGTCTAGTCTGGAAATGAGATCCAGCACAGTCTTCTCACTAAAAGAGTAGTATGCACATAAGACTGCTGCTCTTTTGTAAAAGGAGTGGTCTCTCCACGTGGTCTGACTCACCCCTCACTGAGTCACAGTTCTGCAATCAGAAAAGTTCACATTCCCTATTGTTTGCAGGACTCTAGCTGGGGTATTTTAGACCACTGCAGAGATACAAATGCTATAACATTAAAAGCAGGGGTCTTTGCTGGAAACTAGAGAGAGTCAGGCAGCTATGTGAGCCATTATTCATGTCTTCATTGCAGATATAGTTAGCTTGGAAAATAAAGTTATCACAAATTTACAAAAAGGTGAAGCGTAGTATGCTTACCCTCTCACATTCTCCTTTCTCAGGCCGTAGACATTTCCATCCAGCTCACTGTCAGAGGCCCACGAGTCCCGTGTCTACAGATAGTAACATGAGCACTGCTGTTATACAGAAAAGTCGCCCGGCCAAAAAACAGAAACACCAACAAGGACATCTCCGAAAAGACGTCTACACAGATGGTGAGACTCATTTAAATACAACACAATTAGGTTTTTATTACAGTTCATTTCAATGCATATGGCGTGAAGCTTCTCTCCAATTTTTTTTCCAAGTTTTAAATTTTTGGAGGTCTAATTTATTTTTAATGTGTTTTAGCACATGTTATCGTTCTAATTAATCTTGTTCAGCTATCAATGTAGAATGTCATTTTGCAGTTTGCGTTCTCCTGAAACAAAATGGGGTTTTCTACCTTTAGCAGGTTTAAAGCAAACAAACTTAATTTTGATGTTCACAGTGATATTAGCTTAAAAATGCAGCTGATGAAAGCCAAGGTTCTTATATTTGAGGTAATGCACTGATTTCTATAACACTGTAATACATTTCAGAAGTTTGGAAAACATTTTCTAGTCATTGAAAATAACACCCCTATTTTAAGCATACCAGTGCTATTGCCAGACATAGGCAGGAAAGCCAAGTAACCAGGTTGGCTTGACCCCAGGATCCTACAGATAACTACTGTACTACAGATGATGAAATGTGTGCAGTTTGTTCTCCCTGACATCTAATCCAGAAGCTACAGCTGTATGGTGCCCCTCATGACCTTATTGCCGTGCAGTATAACTTAACAGATGAACAGCCCTATTTAAGATAATCATGTGAACCAGAACCTGAACAATTAAGTTTTTTTATTATCAGGATTTAGTAGACTTTTGTTGAATGTACTCATTGGGGGAGGAGTTTGGTTTGGTTTCTAAATTGAAAAGCAGAAAGTGCATATATTATATTGCATCCTACCACTCCTTAGATGTGGTAGCTGCATACATTTTCTTTGTTACAGCAAGTACAGAAAATACCCATTGACCGTAAAAGAAATGAGGTTTCCTTGTCACTTCTTGTGAGCTGAAAAGAAAGCACAAATATCCTTATTCTCATATAAACTACTTATCCCATTCTTACCAAAGCCACAGGTTTGCTTTATTATCCTTCCTAGTGTATACTTAATTTCACTATTCCTCTCCATCCAAGCTCGAGAATCAAAGGCAATACCCAATACTTCCAGTTATGAAAGTGAATGTTACTCACTTCATGTTACATTGCTGAGTCTATCAGCACTGTTAAAAGTTCAAAGACCTGAGTAAGCTATGATCCTGGAGACTCATATCTTACGCATTGATTTTCTTAGTTCCCAGAGCAGAATGGAGTGGCAGAGGAACAAAAGGAAGGGCTACATTAAACTGAACATTTATTGCGTAGAGACTGTTTAAGTGAATAACCACCATCTGCCATCTCTAGTCTGGGCCTTCATGTTGCTATGGAACATATTGGGTGAGTTCCAGTAGTAACCAATCAGATCCCAGCTGCCATTTCTTAGTGCAGGCAAGAAGTTAACAGTTGTAATCTGTTTGCTAAACACAGCTCCCTCATACCTACTGCATGCAGCGTTTAAACATCATTCCTATTGTGCGCATTTTATAACTGACCTTGCTCGAAGAATATGGATAAGTCTGTTCAAAGAACACAGATTGCGTAGTAGGTGCTACTATAAAAATACCTTCCTTCACCTCGAAAGAGCCTTTGTAATTATCTCCATTTGACATGAAAAGCACACAATTACAGAACATAAGGATAGTCTGTTGCATTATGTGTGTTTTACTAATGGAAGTAATTAGCCCATTACCAACAATGAAAGCTTGCCTCGGAAAGTATATATTATAAAAAATCAATCCATTGACTGCATAATGATGAATTATTTTCATTTTGCCCATGATAGACAACTGATGTAAACTGCAGTATTTTCCAACCCGCACTTATCGGCAATCAATACACTTAACTTGCTGACACTGAATTCCAAGTTTATTGATTTAGATTTAAAACCAATTATTTGAAAATATTCCATTAGCCGTGCAGAAATACCATTGCAAAATCAGTTGTAAGTTTCCCTCAAGCACAATTTGGAGATCCTCTGCACTTAAACTGTTGGCTGTTTAAGGGGGCCTCCCTCTCCCTGTTGGGCTTTTCATTTAATTACAAAAAATTACAAAAAAAAGCAGCAATTCAAACTCAGCATTCAAAGCTAGAGTTTTCAAAGCTGTAGTTGCTGATTTCCTCTATAGCCCAAAGTGTATGTATAGTCCTAACTTTTTTTTAGATTTGTATACAGCAAGGAAGGGTAAAAAGCCTTGCTAGGTTAGTTTTGTTGCTGCCTCTGCACTATTGGAGAAATGGCCCTTCAGTTGCTGCCCCAGAGACACAACCAGAAGTAAGAACAATTCGCCTCTTCTGTTCTCTGGCAGGCTATTCTCCCATGTTTCATGTTTTATTTTTAAATGTTTTCACACTTTATATAAACATGACTTATCTGCTGTTTCATATTATAGTTACTCTATGGTCGCTTGCTGAGATTTAAATCTCCATACAAGTTGATGAAATATTTATAGCCATACCAGTAGAAATGGCACATTTGAATAGAAAGACTTTTGCACGACATTTGAAATAGCTGAAAAAAGGGCTGCAGCTTATTGAAACCTTTATTGCTGAGCATAAGCTGATTACTGTAGCCCATTGCACTGCACAATGTTTTGCTGATTGGTTGTACAGAGCTCTGTGGCACCAGGTCTAGTCCAGAAGTTGGATGGGAGTCATTTATTTATAATACATTTTCCTTGAATTTTTCACTTGTGCAGCAGATGCATTGGAATTTTAGGGTTAGGATGTTTGCTCTGATCCAACATACAGTGTATCATATTATTTCAATGCTTTCATTGTAATCATCTTAGAAAAATTACCCTAATGCCTGAAATACTTTATATATAGATGTTTCCAGAGACACAAAAAGAACCTTATTATAACTGTAGCTAAAAATCGCTTAAAGTTGTTGCTGGACAAAGATGTGAAATAAACTGGGATCTTGGTGCCTAACACTGGCACAGTGGCTTAGCTAGGGCCTGGCTGTTGGTTGCACAACCTGAGGATAATTTTAATACTGGTTTTTAGTGGTTAGCACTTCTGCCTAGCAGCACTGGGATCCCTGGTTCAAATCCCAGTAAGAACACTTACTACAAGGAGTTTTCATGTTCTCCCTGTGCCTGCGTGGGTTTTCTCTGGGTACTCTGGTTTCCTCCCACATTCTAAGACTTGCTTGAAGATTTATTGGCTCCTATCTAAATTGACCCTGGATGTATGCTTATGAGATAGGGATCTTAGATTGTAGACTCCTTGAGGGCAGGGACTGATGTAAATGCACAGTATGTAAAGTGCTGCGTAAATTGTCAGCGCTATAGAAGTACTTACAGTAAATAAATAATAAAATAAATAATGCAGCTATTGTAAGTACTTGAATTTTAATCTCATAACTAGATCCTTGAAATACAAATACAGGTGAAACTCGAATAATTAGAATATCGTGCAAAGTTCATTTATTTCACTAATGCAACTTAAAAGGTGAAACTAATGTATGAAATAGACTCATTACATGCAAAGCAAGATAGTTCAAGCCGTGATTTGTCATAATTGTGATGATTATGGCTTACAGCTCATGAAAACCCCAAGAACCCCAAATCCACAACCTCAAAAAAGTAGATTATTACATGCAATCAATAAAACAAGGATTGTACATAGAACAATATAGGACCTCTGAAAAGTACAAGCATGCATATGTACTCAGTACTTGGTTTGGGCCCCTTTTGCAGCACTTACTGCAATTACTTTTGCATGATATTCTAATTATTCGAGTTTCACCTGTACTTTGACAAGTTCATATGTATATCATTTGTGTATGTAGCTGCACTGTTTAGCTGAAGTCAAGCTTGGTCGAAAGCTGAATTTTTCAGTGGGTGCCCCTAGCGGTAAAGAGACAAATGTTTTTTTTTTATTAGGGTTGTGTCTTCTATGTATTAGTTGCCACTTCAACTGGCAAACTACTACATAATGTGGTACTTGAGGACAATTTTGAGGAAAATAAGCATGAAGGCCCCTAATCATCTCTTTCCATGTCTTCACACACAATATTGATCTCTTTTGAAAAGGAAATACTTGTTTTCCAAAGAATTCTGTGGGGTAAATACGAGCAGTATTATGTTTGAAGAGAAAAGCCCTTAATGAAAACGCCTCAGGTGGTGCACTTTTTTTTATTAAACTGCTACATTCCTTCCTCTTCTGCCTTTCAAAGGAAAACAGCTCGCAAGCCACGCTGGAAATTTATGTTCTGTACGTTTTCCTATTTTTTGTCATTTTGTCAGCCTTAGTAAATTTGTTGATGGGGACGCTCGTCTCCTGCATCTCTTGCCTTGCCGCCTCCCGCTTCTTAGCAACAGCAATCTGATTAGGAATTTCATTACCAGTCAGCAATTTTTCAAAGAGGGGCATCATTTCCCATTATCATATGAAAGCTTAATATTATAGATTCTTATCAATGGCTACACAAGGGCTTCACAGTTTTTTTTTGGCTTGCCCGTGAATAGCAGGTACTTGATAGGAAAAAATGACAAGGCACACAGCAGGAAGAGCACAAGCAATTTTGGAATGAGTGGTCTGCCTTTATTATCTCTTCTTTGCCTTGAGTATATGCTCAGGAGCCTATATCTGAGATTAGAGGACATTTAACAGAAACATGACAGTGTACCTGGACAGGATGGCTCCTTCGCAGACTCTGACTGTCAGCAAAACTGAGATGTTTCAGGATTATCTGATCTTAGGAGGTTATTGCAGTGGGAGTAGCTGGTTACAAGGTTTATTATTGTTCGGGTCAGAAAAATGCATTTTAGGAGCTATTTAATATGCATTATTAGGCAGATATTAAAAATAGTTTCTAAAAAATAATTAAAGGTGCCTATAGCCAGCCGTGAAAGCACTTTTGGAGGAAAGGATTGAAGAAGCCAACTGATAAGTTGAATCACCTGCCCTTTCACCCATGAGAGTCCATTACTCTGCTTAAACCAGCACTTGAAGTCCTCATGAAGGGGCAACATTATAGCCCCTGGAAAATGTTGGCTTGTTACCTTTGGGCTTCTCTGATAAAGTA